GAAAAAAAAAAAAAAAAACAACCAGAAATACTGAATAACTATGACTGTTTATATCCTGTGGATCTAGGATCCAATCATACTTTGCCAGGATTTCTTGCTTCTAAGTAATGTTCTGCATAGCACTGAATATACAAAAGAGAAGGCTCCTACTGCCACATGGCATAATTTCCTGCCAAGTTCTTTCCTTAGGTTGGAGAAACTAGAAAGGGTTGGTGAAAAAAAAGCATAAAATATGCTTCCCAATAAACTCGTTTCTCAGACAGATGCATAAGAACCTAGAGCCAGTTCATGGGCCTTTGTCTGGTAACTAGGATTGCTCCCAACAGCTCACTGTTCAGAGGGCAGTTTTCCCTCTCATCCTGAATGTGCTTAGTATATTATTCCCTTAGCTTATAATGTTCCTCCTTTCTTAGCCAGTGACTGCATATTTACCTTTCTCCAGAAAGTCTGTCCCAAGTCCCCCAGCCCCTTCCCTATCTCACCTGTACACATATATCCCTGAGTCAATATTGGGTATTCCAGCTCTATTATTCCTCTATCATAGGCTCTTATCAGACTGCATTATAGTAGTTTATTTAAATGTCCAAACAAGTTTTAAAGTTTATTTTAAAGTCAATCTTTTCCATAGGACAATAAACTGTTTTCCTCTATATGTGACAGCACATAGTATAGTGCCTGATGTATAATAGGTGCTTTAAAAGTACTTGCTGAATTAGAAATAAAGCTCCTAACACAATGCTCAGCACATAGTAGGCATTATTTCCTTCCTCTTTGTTTCACAAGTTTATCTAGTCATGCCATCTTTAATCCACAATGAGCTGTAAAATATATCAGTTTAGGTTTTTTGTTTTTTGCAGTACTGGGTACTGAACTCAAGGCCTCTATATTAAGCTACATCCCAAGCCCATCCATCTAATTCATCTATCTGTCTTTTTGTTTCGAGACAGGGTCTCACTAAATTGCTACTTTGATCAATCTGCATGCAAACTTATGATCCTTCTGTCTAAGCCTCTCAGAATGCTGGGATTATAGGCCTGCATCTCCACGCTCAACTCTAATTTAATATTTTAATAAAATGGGACTATCACTTGAGAGACCTCCCAAGACTATCAGATATGAAAATGATATACATGCAGAAGTGAACACTCTTTCCCTGGTAGAGATTTTTCTTTCAGAGATGTTTCTCAAGGTCTTTGCTGACACACACTGGAGATAGTAAAAAACTAATAAAGCAATTGCCTAAAGAAAATAAATCACACTCCTAGAGGGCAGGATTTTTACTTTTGGCTATAGAAGAAAAAAAAAAAAAAAAAGATCTTGATCTTAAATTCGTAAGCCAAAAGAGAAAAGGAGAGAAATGAGGCAGAGAAAAAGCCTATTTTACTGGCTTTCCATCTCTAGTCCTGATATTCATTAGTATTTCCGTGGTAACTCAAAAGCCATTAATTTCTTGCAACCCACACTAATCCTTTTGTAGAAAGAGATAATGGATGCCTATTCTCAGTTATCTTTCTCTCTGACAATGCAGTAGAGAGGCAGTGCTGTTAGAAACCCTTGCTGCCGCCTCTCCACTTCTCATTTCCTTTGGGGCTGATGACAGCTCAGCCTTCTCCATAATAAGGCTTATAAAGGTTTATGACCATGTGTCCTTTCCTGGTCCCCCCTGTGACACAGCAGCTCCGCTGAGTAAAAACCATTTCTCTTGCTTTTAGAAATTTTGTCATCTCTTCTTACTTCCCGGAGAGCTTTTTACAACTACCATGAGTTACAAATCTAATTTCTTTATTTTTCTAGCACTGGGGATTGAACTCAGGACCTTAGCACTGAGCACTAACCTATATCCACAGTCTTTTTATTTTTAATTTTGGGATAGGATCTGGCTAAGTCACTGTTATGGCTTGTGTCTAGATTTTCCCCCAAAGCCTCATATTGTCATGAGTGGGGCCTTTTCAGAGGTGGCTGGATCTAGCGTGTGAGATTGATTCATGGTGCAATGCTAGGATTAAGTGTGTGAGTGCTATCTGTCCTACAGGCAGGTAGCCTGGGTACAATATTAGGGACAGAAAGAGGTTTGCTGCTAGTTACTTGTAGTTTGTTGCTTGCTTGCTTTGTTACCTTTTGCCCACCATGAACTGTCTCTCCTCTGCAATGCCTGTCTGCCATGCCACCCTGCCTTGGAGCCAGCTGATTATGGACTGAAACCTCTACAAACTGTGAGCCAAATAAATCCTCATTTAACTTTGGGTATTGAATATTTTGTCTAAGCAATAAGAAAAAGTAACTGAGACAGTCACTAAATTGCCCAAACTAGGTTTAAACTTGCAATCCTCCTACCTCAGCACCCCAAGGTGCTGGGATTACAGGCATGTACTACCCTGTACAGCTAGATGTCTGTCTTTTAATCAAGCCTTAAACACAGCAGCAAACCTGACTAGAACCTCACTTCTTTGTGGTACAGATATAGTTCAGTGGAAGAGCACTTGCCTAGCATGCTAGAGGCCCTAAATTTGATCTTCAGCCCAGCAAAACAAAACAACAAAAAACCTACAAACAATAACAAAAATACATAATTTCTTTCTGATTGCTTAAGCTAGGGTATGGATGCCAGTTTGGGTGGAGGGTACAAAAAGTCCTGTTAGGGAATCTTCAGAGTAACAGGTTAAAGGGCACACTGGGTTCCAATATTCTTTTCCCACTCAATAAGCAACGTCTTATTTCTGTCCCCTACTTCGGCTTTAGTGCTCTGTAGATGGGGTGTTGAACTGAGATAGTAAAGAAAGCATGTTAAACATATGAAATAGCCTATTCTTAGAGTATATAATTTTGTAAAGGAAGAAAGCAAAGATGATCAGAAAAATATACTCTGGGGTGGCTATAATGGGAAGTTATATCAAACTCTTTTAATATTTCCTGTGTGAAATGACAAGAAGGCTGAAATATGACCACTTCTTTCTAAGCTTCAGCAATTGCTACTTTCTATTGGATCTGAAGTTTATTTTTTAATATTTTTGCTACTGACAAATTGAAGCTATATATTTAAATATAAAATCACATTAATTTACCATAGTTTACAGTATGGTTTCCCCAGAGCATATCATTTTAATTCACTTAATAACCCCACATAGGGCCGGGGATTTAACTCAGTGGTGCCACCGCCTGCCCCACAAGCACAAGATCTTGAGCTTGATCCCTGGTACCAAAACAAAAAAAAACCCCACATATATCCTTATAAAGTGTCCAACTTCACAAATGAATAATATAATCTCAATCTTAAAATATATAAGTGACTCAAGATCACTAAGATTTTCACCATTGCGCAAATGAAAATAGAAAAAAATGATCAAAATGAAGCACTGTACCTATGAATTTCACAATGAAACCACAAGACAGAAATTCCTCATAAAAACAAAACACCACCAACAACAAAAATACCTTGGAACTCTCAATTTCCTCACCAGGCTCCACATTAGTATGAAAACCTGGTCCAGTTCCTCCTCAGTGTAGATTGCATTTCTCTCTCCTGGCCCTCACAGTTCCAGTGAAGGGGTTTCAGGACAATAACTGCTACTGACTGAAGAGGAAGAAGGGGAGGTTTCCCTGACAAGCACCTGATTCACTTCTGTACTGCCAGCCCACCAGAGTTCCTTTTTTTTTTGGTACCAGGGATCGAATTCAGGTTCTTGCACTTGCGAGGCAGGCCGCAGAACCACTGAGCTAAATCCCCTGCCCCAGAGTTCCTCTTTTGACATTACTTCCTCTCTCAGTTCTCAGAAACAGTTCCACACTCCTGATGGTCAACTTCATCAAGGTCTAGCCCACTGTTACCAGGGTGAGCTTTCTGGTGTCTCGCAGACCTTCCCATGCTAAAGAATTTATGCTAAACTCTTCACAAATTCCAAGCAGACATAGTAAAATCTATTCTCATTAGCTTGGCCTTAAATATCTCATTATGGAAAACTCCAAATACTCTAAAGCAGGTAGAAGAGTAAAACAAACACTGTGTATTCATTGCTCAGCTTCAAAAACCAGCAAGGTTCTGTCATTCTTGTTTCAACTCTCCTACTTCCTTCAGCTCTTTTGTTTTTTCTCTTTTGCTTGAATGTTTGAAGAAAAATCATAGACATTTTATCATTTCACCTGTAGATAATTCAGAGTACATCTCTATTAACAAATTAGAACTTCAAAATCTATATATGGTACTACTTTCTCCTATACCCCAAATTAACAATTTCTTATCTAATACCTAGTCTATTTCAATTTTCCCAGATTATTTCAAAACTTTATTTGTGTGTGTGGTACCAGGGATCAAATTCAGAACCTTGTTGCCACTGAGCCCTAAAACATTTAAAACAGATGATCTGTTCAAGTTAGGTTTACATGCCGGGCATGGTCTCCAGGAGGCTGAGGCAAGAGGATTGAAAGTTTGAGCCCACTATGGGTAACTTAGTGACTTAGCAAGTCCCTGACTCG